AAAGGTCTAAATTGCCCCGGTCGATTCGTCTCCCCTCATTACTGAGTCATGACAAGATTCCTTCTTATCCATTGGAGCACAACAGACTCCAAGAGATATCACAAGTGTATTGAGTCGTCAATGTGTTTCGCGCCTCGAGGTGCGAGGAGTCGACCTCGAGTACTAGGAGGTCGACTTGGGATCATCTGATTATTCGGAGGCTACGCTCTTGTTGGTCTTCTTAAATGGAAGTCGACTTTTGGGAGTCAAATACGTGGGGTCGACTTCTAGGAGTCGACTAGCTTGGATTCCGCATATCCTCGTGGTCATTTTATGGAGAATCGACATTTCGGAGATCGATTTGGGCATGTCGACATATGGGCGATCTGAGCAGTCGTCTAGTCGGTAAGGGATTCTTAGACCGGTATATCACAATATGGCTATATCATCTAGCGAGTGACGACTGGAGCACGCCAAAAAATTCTTCACCGGCGAAACCTTGCCGGTTCCGGTGAAAACAACAGAAGTGTGAGCGTCATGACAAGGTGATTTCAATGGTGCACTTGTTATGCGGTGATTCGCCGGAAATCGATGTGAAAATGGAGAAGATGACCGAATTTTGACCAACTTTCTTTAGATCCACAAAACGTTGACCGCCAAATTGACGGCCTTCCCGAAGGAATTGTTCCTCGAAATTTTAAAGGTAGGACGAGCACAAGGACAACTTCGCGATGGTGTAAGAATTTTTCAAATCGGACAACTTTGGTCGGCGGCGGCTTCTGACTGCGGCGGCGACGGCGTTCAGTGAGGGTTGGTAGCTGGAGATTCGTCTCGCCGAGAGGATTCCGGTGCTACCCTCGGATTCTTCATAGTCCTCCCGGATCGTCAGGAAAATGCAGTTGAATGTCCAATTTTGACCAATTTTTTGCTAGATCTGGAAACTTTGACTGCAAAATTGACGGCCTTCCTGGAAGAATTTTCGCATGAAATTTTAAGGGGAGATCCACCTCAAATATATCTATCCAATGACGTAAAGAATTTTCCGATCGGAGCATTTTTTTTCGGCAGCCGACGGCCGATGGAGAAGGAGTAGTTTGCTGGAAAATATACTGAGTCTTATGCTCGAAAGACTTAATAAATACTGAGATGTTGTTATATGCTAGATTGGTTATGGCTCGATTCTAAACTTATTTTTAATCCGGGTTTTAAGATATACTCTCGAATTTTTAAAATATTTTATGTTCGGAAATAACATAACTGCTTTGAACTGGACTGACTTGGTTCGAAAAAATACTAAAAAAATCCGGTGTAAACTCAAATCGAAAATATTGAACCGAATATCTCAAACCGACCACTTACTGGACCGGTTTACTGGCTTGGACCGGCGGCTCGCCATGAACCGGTCAGTCGCGGGTGACACGAGTGCCTCGGCTCGGTCACTAATGACCCGAGTACCTGAGCTCGGTCACGAACACTAGCCACACGTCTTTTAGGTTCAGGATCGACACTACTAGTATGCACATTGGTGCTACAGAGTGCTTCAGGGTTCTGTCAATTGTCATCGGGTGTTGCCCAACACGCTGACAAGATTGCTGATGCAGGTGAGTGCTACCGGGCGCTGCCGAGCAGAACCCGTGGTCACTAGCATACATGCACGGGTGTTGATACAGTTAACGGCCGACTCATCGCGCATACTGGGTGCTGGCACGAGCTGGCGCGGGTGCTATCCGCTGTCCAGAGGCATCTCTCGAGGAATTAACCTCTGAACACGTACTGCCGGGCGCTAGTGCACACTCGATGCGTGGCAGCGGCCACGGTCGGCTCCTCGCCGGCCGTTTGGCTACTTTTCTGGTTACCCTTTCACTTACCCCATTTAATTAAAATATAAGGAGTCTAAAAATGTATAAAAATATTAGGATAACTCGACTAGATTTTAAAATGGTTCAGGAGCCAAAACGAGCTATATAGGGTTCTAGGTCACCGAGTCACTTTACACATTTTTGGAAAAGACTTGAGTCCGAATACTTAACATACTTTATCATATTTTTAGGTACTAAAAGCTTGGCAATTACTAACATGAATAAAGACTTGGCTCTATCATATTTTTAGGTACTAAAAGCTTGGCAATTACTAACATGAATAAAGACTTGGCTCGGTTGACTACAAATGGCCATAAAAATCATATTCTACTTGACCGAGTAAAGGATTTCCAAATAAGTTGAGTCCTTAGTAAATGCTTAGATATAAAAAGTTGTGGTTTTGATTGGACTTTTTAATTTGGGTTAGTTAAATTTGAAAAAAGTTGGTATGGTTAGTGGGTATATTAAAATAATATTTAAAATAAAATGATTAAAATTAATTTGATGTAAAAGTATGAGAGAACAGATTTGATGTGATGGTTAATTAAAATTATGTGACTTGATGAATAGTGAATTAATGTTGATATGGTGTGTAAGAATGATTGATTGATATTATTTATTATATTGATAATATTGATGATATTGGAGTTGAGTTAAAAATGATTGGATTTTTTTTTTTTTTGAT